CCATGTGGTCACCTCCGGGGCAGGCAGGAATTGAACTCATGTGGAAGCGGCTTTAGATTCTCAGTGCTGTGCTTTAACCTGCTGCGCCACCAGGGAGGGCCAGTTTTCCTTTTTCTTAATGGGGGGTTAGTACCACCTTCTTATGGTAGTGTTGGAAGGCACTGCTGAGTCCATAGTGAGCATTTAGTAAATGGGAGAAATTTATTATTTTCACCAAACCAGACTGACATTGTGTGTTGGAATTGTAATTTCTGATATATTTTATTTTTTGGCCTTTTAATCTAAATGTGGCTTAATTATATGTTGAAAATTTCAATAAGAAACCTCAAAACCATATACTACTGTGGTGGGTCTCATGGTCAGGGATAACTCTAGTGACTGTTGGAACATGACCCCAGTGGGTCTCAGCAAAAGCATCTGTCTCATCGTTTGATCAAGAAGGTGCGTTGCACTCGTTCTCTTTCCTTGGACCTTGAACTGACTTGTATGTCTGGTGCCTGGAGCTGCAGTGGGGGCTGCCCTGCCCGCTGCTCTGCCCTCTTCTTTGACAGGCCAGAGAATCAGACTCGGGTGAATACTTGGCCTCAGTTTGGGGGATGCTGGCTCCCTCAAGGGCGTCCACCCTCTAAGTAAAACCTTAGCCTCTGGTTTGTCTTCGGTCAGTATTTGTTCCCATCCTTGTGGACAAAGTGACGATTCAAGGTGATGGTGGATGGCAAGTCAAGCAGGTTGCAAGACTTTTTGCAAATGTATTTTAAGAGGAACTAGAACCCAGTTGGATACAACATGGCCAACTGAAAAGTAACTTTTACTTATGCTTAATTTGTGATTATGGCAAGTTTTCAGGGGTCAGAGGCTATCAAATCAATTCACAAGGATCCCCATTGTGGCTAACTAGATAATTGTGTGTGCCCTGAGTAGGAATAGGAATAGTAGGAGTAGGAGGCTTTCTCTGAAGCTCCAGGGTGTGAAATACACCAGGCACCACACAGCTTGTCTGGGGGTCAGGGTGTGGATTTCAGGGAATCACTTCCAGTACCTCCTGCCTCTGTCACTGTGACTTCCTTCGTCACCACCTTTCTTTCTCAGAAAGCAGCTGGGCACAGCACACATGATACAGAGGGCGGCCGTGATTATTTGAGAAGGTACATACTTCATTTTGAACCAGATAACTGTTATCACCCTCGGTGATTTCCACGGTTCTGAAATAGACCTGGCACATCAGTCAGGGTGTCTGCTGGCATAGCAGCAGGGCTGCAGGGCTACAGGGTTGCCTGGTTCTGAACTCCATTTGCATTGTAGGCTAAAGCTGTGATCTCTATTATGTAGCAGTTTGGAAGAACTAAATTGGAGTGTATTTAGGTCTTTGATTGGGTACCATTGTGGAAGGTTGTGGTTTAGTGGCCAAGGTATGTTCAAGTTGTGGGCTTCCCACCTGTCAGATGGGGATGAGAGTAAGCTCATAGACACATGTGTGAGATTTAAGTGTCACACCACCTTCTTCCTGGATATCCTGCTATCAGTCCAGCCGATGTGAAATGAGGCTGCAGTGTTCGTGCATGTTAGTTCTTTAGAACCAAATCCCAGCCCCTAGAATGGTGCCATTACCACCATCAGAGGGGGCAGCAGTTTTTTTCTTAAATTCAGTGGTTCATTGAATTTGAGTAGCTCCTGTACACCAGGCACTGTGCTGGGTGCTGAGGCTACAAAGACGAGTAACTCAATGCTGTTGGAGAGGTCACACTGGACTTGCAAAGACCAATGTGTATACCCTTATATATACCCATAGTGTGAACATCACTTACAGGCAGAGAAATAAAGTGAGGATCGGGGGAGTTATCTCCCTCAGTGTGGGATATTTGTTGTAGCAGTGAAGAGGACTTTGGGTAAAGAAAACAAGCTTGAGTAAAGACAAGAAGTTGAGAAACATCATGGTAGCCCATTAAGGCATTTGGGGTTGCTGGAGTCAGAAGGGGTGAGGCTTGAGGGACTGCAAGGGCTAGATCCAGAAAGACCCTGGGTGGCAGGTTAAGGAGCTCAGGTTCTAGGCATTGTAAATGGTGGTCTTGGTGGTGGTGCTAGTGATTCCGTAACGAATCAGACAGACATGGAAAGGGGCCAGCGTTTGTGGTCGGAATAACCATTCAGTTGAATGGGTTAGGTGGGACCGTGTTTGTATGGAAGGTGGTTTAAATAACTTGAGACCTCAGGGTCCTTTTATGAAGAAGTGTAACTGCTTAGGAACAGACAACAGGGTCTATGGGAAGTAGAAACGGGGAGGAATGAATGGATGGAGGATTTGAGTTCTAATTGGCTAGAGGAAGGGAGGACGGCAAAGCAGCAACCAAGTGTGTGACCAAGGTCCTATTTTCCATTTGAATTTCTGCTCACATCTGGTCTCTTTGGGGAGCATTTTCTGACCTCTGGCCCACACTTTGTTGTACAACTCTGACCACATTGCCTTGTGTCCTTATATCTTGTTTTGTATTAAGTTTGTTTTGCTTTTTGTAAGAAGGGGAACTACTTAACAGGTAGGGACTATATCTTATATATTTTTTTGGAGGGGTGCAATTTTAAGTATTTAAGATTTATACTTGATATTACTAGGATCTTAGGCAATTAATGCTTTTATCTGTTTTTTTTTTGTTTGTTTGTTTTGTTTTCTACGAGAGGAAGAATGGAATGAGGACCTTAAATGGGAGATTTCTGCTATCCAGAGGAATACTTTGTGACCTGTGTGTCAGAAAACAACCTGAAAAGAATTTAGGCAATTGGGGTTTTAGAATAGGATAGCTTGTTGTCTTCTTAGTTCTGGAAACAATTTACCTGGAAAGTCTCCTGTGGTGTATTGGGAGTGGCTTTATCACCCAGGCTACCCTCAATTGATAGCTGTTTCTGAGAGGTCTGTGCTTGTGGGTTCCTCTACAGGGCCGGAGCGTGGTGCCCAGTGTGAGCTGTTGCCGGTCAACGCCTCCCATCCTGTCCAGGCCCTGATGGAGAGCTTCACGGTCTTGTCTGGCTGTGCCAGCAGAGGCACCACGGGGCTGCCCCAGGAGGTGCACATCCTGAACCTCCGTTCCAGCGACCAGGGGCTGGGGCAGCTGCAGAGAGAGGTAGGTGTCAGTGCCAGCTTTCCATCCCTGCCCTTCTGGGTTTGTAAAGACACTTTTCTGAACGGAGAAGCCTTTTCTACCACTATGGATTTAATAAGGATGCTCATGTAGGGATGTCAGTGCAAAAGAAAGATACAATGTTCACTCTAGAAGGAGGATTTTTTTTTAAAGATTTATTTATTTGTGCATACAGAACTGGGGTACAGGCCAGAGGTGCAGGGACGGTGAGAGGCTTCACCAGAGACAGAGTGGGGAGCAGAACAGGTAGATCGAGGAAGTACACTGCTGAGGGGAGCAGCAGGCGGGTCAGGAGAGGTCTGCTGCACCATGTGGTCACCTCCAGGGCAGGTGGGAATCGAATTCATGTGGAAGTGGCTTTAGCTTCTTAGTGCTGCACTTTAACCCGCTGCGCCACCAGGGAGGGCCTAGAAAGAGGATTTTTTTTTTAAAAAAAAAGATTTATTTATGCATATAAGATCTGGGGTATAACCTGAGGTGCGGGGGTAAGAGGATGCACCAGAGACAGAGTGGGGAGCAAAACAGGCATATTGACAGAAATGCACTGCTGAGGGGAGCAGTGGGTGAGACAGGAGAGCTCTGTTGCACCTGTGGGTCACCTCCCTGGCCAGGGATTGAACTTGTGCTGCAGTGGCTGCGGGTAGCTTCATGGTGCTGTGCTTTAACCCGTTGCACCACCAGGGAGGGCCCTTGAAGGAGGATTTCAAATAACAGCTGGCTTTCTAGACTGGACAACTTTAGGGTTGCTCTCTCTCCAGATTGCTTGGCTTCCCAACTTTCTTGTTCTGCCTTATTAGAAAGCATGTTCTTAAGAATTTCATCTTTTAAAGATAAACTATGAAAAAAACAGGAGAGGTACCATTTGTTGGTCATTACAAAAGGTTTTCCTCATCTCTTCTGGGTTCTCTCTTGCTTCTTTTCTTTGCTTTTTTTCTTTATGAACCTATTGCTCTGACAGGTGCATTTGGGACAGGTCCTTGTGAGGCAGCTTCTGGAAGATGGTGATGGCCTTGGTGGTGACTATGATGATTTGGTAATGACTCTGAGGTCAGCGCTGTTTGAGTCACTCATTAACTCACCCCGTGACGTCCTCTTGTGGATTCATTTTATGGGTGACAGGCCTATGTAGAGATAGGCACATCCTCTTACGAGAGAAGAGAAATGGCCTTGTCTCTCCTGTGGTTCAGAAACACCTAAATTGTGGGTGAATATCATACATCCTTGAAGATCACATACAGTTGCTATTCTTTCTGTTTTAAGCTTCTGTGTGTCAGAAGCTTTATCACTAAGGTATTACCGCTTATGGGAGAGAGAAACCACAATAAATCTGATCACAGAGAATTGCAAAGAAATTAATGCAGGACAGAATTTATCTTTCTTCTGGTCAAGAAAACTCATGTCCAGACCCATTTGTTTATACTCCTCAACCTTCGAGCGGGATGGGAATAGCAATAGAGGTGGTGAGGTGTCCAGAAGGAAAAGCAAACTGATTTTAATCTCATGAAAGTGTGCAGAGTTGGCTCATTTCAAAGACAAATCATCCAACCTTTCCAGCTACATTGGAAATTATTGTTAATGCTCTTGGTTGCTTGCCATTGTTGCTGCAACACATATTTCAGGTCAGATTTCTTTATCCCAGTAATGTGTCTTTAATTCTTAACTTACAGGGGAGAATTTGTGGTGGGAGGGAAGGGAGGCGAGGAGGAAATACAGTTCCTATGGAGCGTTGCTGACGCCAGCAGTTCTTTAGCAGCGATAATTACTCATTTTATATATGGTTCTCTCGGAGGAATGGGGAGAGAAAAGAAGGTCCAAGCTATTAATACAGAAGCAGCAATGACAGAAAATGCTGGAGTTAAATTGTGTGGTACGGTTGTTGACTCCGAAAATAGATTCAAATAATACTACTGAAGCCAAAAGAAAAATACCTCAAGGATTGACATCAAGCTCACCCACACTCGCACTTAACGACGTTAGATCAAATGCACACTGTGGGGATACATACAATTAGCTGCCGTTGGGGTCACAGTGTGTTTATGAGGAAGTAAAGAGAGAAGACCAGTGGAGAGTAGTCCTGAAAACCTCTGCAAAAACATCCAGTCTTCTTTTTTCAATATTTGTATAGTACATGTGTGATTTTACATTAATGATTTGAAGATATTTCTGAAACGAGGCAACTGAGGGAAATTGTATTATTTCCTTCTTTGGGGACTTTTAAGAAATAGATGGTTGTGGCCTAGTCCTAATTGAAAATAAGATGTTGGGATTAGTGACGGCTGGACAGTTCATGGCCCCTGAGCAGCCCTCCTATAGCAGAGGAACATTTTATGTTCACAGGATACAGGTGAGTGTAGATAGTAAACAGCACACCAGTGGGCCATGACAAAAAGAACAGAGCTTGTAAGGTGGGGGTGGAGAAATATTAAATCTCTCTCACCTTCTTCATATGGGGTGGTGGAGATCCATTACTGCAGCTGCACAAACAATTTTTCAAAATCATTTGAACCATATGAGCCAGCACCTCCCCTCCTAAGTCTGTACTCAGGAGAAATAAATACATACATACACTGAAAAAAATGCTGCCAAGAATGTTCATGGCAGCGTTATTGATAACAAAATGGAATGACTATAGCTAATATTACTATATTGTTTGCATCTGAAAGTTGCTGAGAGCAATCTTAAATTTTCCCCCAAAATTAAAAAAAATTTTTTAAAGATAACCCAGATTTTATTATTATTAAAATTTATCTCAGGAGTGGGTTGAATTTTTATTAAATATGTTTTAACAAAGTCTCTCCAGCAAAATAGCAACAACACATAGAATTTAAAAGAAATTGAAAGAACAGATATAAAAAGGTTGAGATGGCAATGTTGATTTTAGCAATAATGCAAGAGCTATTAAACTAACTATAAATGTTAACAATAGTATCCCACATAAATTTATTTATGTATTTATTTTTTAAAGATTTATTTATTTGTGCATACAGAACTGGGGTATAGGCCAGAGGCTCAGGGGCAGCGAGAGGTTCACCAGAGACAGAGTGGGGAGCAGAACAGGCAGATCGACGAAGTACACTGCTGAGGGGAGCAGCGGGCGCGTCAGGAGAGGTCTGCCACACCATGTGGTCACCTCCAGGGCAGGCGGGAATCGAACTCATGCGGAAGTGGCTTTAGCTTCTCAGTGCTGTGCTTTAACCCGCTGCGCCACCAGGGAGGGCCTAAATTTATTTTTTAATGAGTGAATTAAAATCTTCTTCCTGCACTCTTACACCGTTACAGTCCCTATAGTTCTCTTGCTGCATGGTGTCACGAGTGACCCCATACCCCCCTGTGCTCATTGCTCCCCTCCGTACCCTCCTTCTTTGCTCTTGCCTCAGATCTGCGGTCAGCTTACTGACTCTTTCTTGTCCTTTTTTTTTTTTTCTTGTCCTTTTTTTTTCTCTATACTCCTCATATAAGTGAGACCATCTGGTATTTATCTTTTTCCTTCTTGTCCTTTTTTTTTTTTTCTTGTCCTTTTTTTTTCTCTATACTCCTCATATAAGTGAGACCATCTGGTATTTATCTTTTTCCTTCTCACTAATTTCAGCTGCTGTAATCCCTTCCCGCTCCATCCATGTTGCAGCAAATGGCATGAGTTTGTATTTTTTGATCACTAAGTAATACTCCATGGTATAAATATATCACAACTTTTGGTCTATTTGTCTCAATTGGGACATTGGGGTAGTTTCCATATCTTGCTATTATGTTAATAAACAGTGCTGCAATAAACATAGGAGTGCAGGTTTCCTTTCCAGGTAGCAGATTCCTAAGAGTGGGATCATATGGTAGATCCATTTTTTGTGTTCTTAGCAACCTCCCCACAGCTTTTCATAGTGGTTGGAGTAGTTTACATCCCCACCAGCAATGTAAGAGGGCTCCTTTATCTCCAGGTCCTTGAGAAAAAACCTTAAAGTTCCCACCACCACAAAAAAAACCAAATTGTAACTGTGTGAGGTGGGGGATGGAAACTAGACTTGTTGTAATCCTTTCATAGTATATACACACATGGAATCATTGTGTTGTATACCTAAATGTGTTATATTTGATGTCAGTTATATTTCTAAGGTAAAAATCATATCTAAATTAAAAAAAAAGAAAGAAAAATCTGAATGTCCATCAGTTGATGAGTAGATAAATTGTGGAATGCTACCAGCAGTGAAATACAGACCGCTCAGTATACATCTTGAAAACATTGTGTTAAGTGAAAGAGGACAGCTACAAAGAGCCTCCGTATGTGATTCCATCACTATGGAACTCCAGAACAGACAAATGTGTAGAGGCAGAAAGTTATGGTTGCTAGGCTGAAGGGTGAAAGAGGGAATTAAGGATTGACTGGTAGCAGGTACAGGGTTTCTTTGGGAATGAAGGAAATGTTCTAAAATTAAATCATGATGGTTATATGACCTTTTGAATATTCTTAGCCCCACTGAATTGTACTTTAAATACGTGAATTTTATGGTATGTGAATTTTATCTCAGTAAAAATTGTTTAAAAACAACATCCAACCTGCCATCATCTAAGTAGTTCATAAACTTCACCTTAAATCCACATTAGTCCTACCTTGAACTTGGAGGATAAACCTCTGAAAGTGCAGAGTACTGAATCCTGTGTTTTATACCCCATACTTCTGACAGTGTTTTATTTAAAAATTAGGAATAGTAAGGGATCAACAACAATAATAATATGGAGCAATTATAACAGTATACTGTAATAAAAGTATTGTGAATATGTTATGTGGGGTATTTCTCCCAACATATTTTTTTTTATAAAAGAATTATTCCTTTGTTGTAAGACTTTTATTTATTTTGTATAGAAGAACTGGAGTGTAGGCCAGAGATGGGGGGGTGGGGGGGGGAGAGGATTCACCAGAGACAGAATGGAATGCAGAACAGGCAAATCCACTGAAATACACTGCTGAGGGGAGTAGTGGGTGAGACAGG